CCTTTGTCACATCAGCCAGCAGTAAATAAAGTGAATAATGAGAAGTGAATCTCCTGGGATAATGTTAGGTCTTATCTGCAATGACAGTTCCTACCACTGTGCTATATGGAGAAACAACATATTTTTCGAGTCAGACTGAATAATTCTCTTCTTTTTTTTTAGGTGGCGAGATTCTCTGCGAGGTGACTGCTTTCAAGAGTTGCTCCTTGCACAGTGAAATGCCAAAAAAATCCTACTGGCCAAAACACTCTCTTTGAAGTTGTCACTAGAGAGAAGCCACCATGACACCTTCAAAGGAAGTGTGTGTATCACCTCAGGTTTTCTGCGGGATATTTAGGAATAGTGCTTCATACGGACATGGTGCAATAGTGGTCCTCCAGGCCTCCAAGGAGAAATCAAGGACCTGTCCTTTCACAATCATCATGATGCATGTTTCTGCAAGAATCAAAGGGCCAGTGGTAGTGAAGGCACTAAGGTGTCTGTGTTTTATCTCAACAGGGGCTCAAAGAAATGTTGGACAATTATACCTCTACAAGAATAGCAAGACATTTGCAAAGCAGGATAGAAAGAAAAATAACCTGATTCCTTCTTATATTCTTGAAATTGAGCAAGAGGCATGTTTCAAAAGTGCAAGTGTTTTAACTTTAATCTCATCGCCTCTAATTGTCGAACCATTTCATTTAAATAAAAATAAAAATGCTTCTAATTGTATTGAGCACCAGTGTGCACAGAAACTGAGAAATGTTCTGCGATTGGTTTCGACCTTGAGCTTAAATGGTGTTTAGGAATAATCCTGATTATTAAATTGTGATTATTATAATATTTTGTAATCGTTCAGGATTATTTCTAACTTCATTTATCCTACTTGTTAATGTGTTTTAATGTATAACCCTGTCCAAAGGCTTTTGAGACTGTCACACCCAATTAGAATTGCATGTTCAATTCACTACCCTGGAAGTTAATAAAGTTGTTAAAGTTGGAACAGCCTGTGGACAGCCGTTCTTCCTCGCACGTCAGTCGCCGACAACTTCTTACAGAGGACAGGAAAATCTAACTAGAGCACGACCCGTATATTTTCGCACGCCGTGTTCTCAACAGACCGTACTCTTTACATATTAATTATGTTTTCTCCTGGAAAACAAAGGTTTAGACTTTTGGACCTGTTTTAACCTTCTTTTTGTTTTCCTTATATTGCTTCAGCTCACTTATAAATGTGGTCACATAAGACTTCCTTTGAATAAGACATGTACCTCTAATTGAAATGTAACTTTGAAGTCAAGGTTCAAAGTTCTTTATTTGTCATACGAACATAGTTACAGTGTAGTTATGCCGATGAAAATATTGTGTCACAGGCTTCTCCAACAGAGCAACACAAATCACAGAACAAATATAATGCTAGTAAATAGCAAAAGAAAAATAGTTTTAAAAAGTGAAATAGTGCAATAAGAGTCTATATGCAAGTTATTGAAATAGGATATACTGTATAGGTCAAATGTATTGTTATATGCTTATTTATTCATAAACTTTTTCAATATGTAGGTATAATATTAACACACAACAAACACATTTGTTATTATTCAGTATCAACCATAACAACATTGTAACCATAGCCCATATTTATTTATTTTTAATTAATGCTAGAAGAAAAGAAAGCCATCTGCCATGTTTTCTACTTCTGCCACAGTTTAATGACCTCAAAGGACACACAGCTTATATCGTGAAACAAAATCAACCTCCCTTTTTTTTCATACGAGGAATTTAGGGATACATTATTTTTCAGGGAGGAATATAGAAGGCAGAGGCACAACAACTACACATCTCTAGTATTCTAATCCCTGTGTATGACAGTGGTTTTCAAATCATTCCTACAATGAAATCCTACTCCTGTCTGTCTTTGGGAAGAAAAATCTATAAAACCGCCTGCTTAGCCTGAGGAGCGGAGCGGTGCCAACAAATTCCAGGCTTCCACCATCACACACAAACACACATAACCCAAAACAAGACAACTCTCAGTAGAAAAGCACACAGGGTCCATAGCTGCAGGCTCTACAACAGGTGAATACCCCCCTCCCTCCATGACAGTGATGTGTGTGAGAGAAAGACAGACTGAAAAACAGAGAGAGACACAGAGAGGGCAAGGAAGAAACAAAAGAAAGTGATATGAAGAGAGAGTGCGAGGAAGTGTGTGTTATGTAAACCCCAGGTGATGCTTGTTGTCCTGGATGGAAGAATCACCAGGGGGACGAGTGCTCCAGCTTAGCAGCTCTCTCCACACCTCACTCTCAAGCACACACACGAGCAGGAATCAGAAAGAAGTAAATAAATGAAAGAGGACAGAGGAAATGTGGGAATAGACATAAGATTATTGAGGGTAGAGGGTGGGCAAGAAAAAGAGGACGATGAAGAGAAAATAGATGCAGGAGAGGCGAAGGAAGAGAGAAGTGAAATGTATTAAATATCCATTTCAGAAATGTCAGTGTGTCGTTTCGGGAAGCACAAACACTCCACCTTCAGCTGGTTGTTGTTCAGTCCTGTGCAGCTCAGGAGGGGATGAATTATTTCCCCCCTGTGCTGCGTTTTGTGTTTTATCTGTTTACTGGCTCGTCCTCTGTACCAGTAACTGTCCACGATGAGCGCAATTATGGGAAGGGCCTTCCAGGATACATCTGCATACATCACACACATTTCCACACCCACACTAACATGGCTCCCCGAGGGGCCACTGTCGATAACATCCTGTACTCTGCACCTGATGCATGGGGGGGTGGGGGTCGTGTTTGTGCTGAAACAGCAGGAAACATCCTCTGCAGAGATGCTTTATGGTCCCTGTCGGGCTGCTGAGTGAGGATGGGCTTCAGTGTTCCAAATCTTGACCTGTACAACTGCTGTGGAAATCCCAACTCTGACCCCAGATCAGCACTTAAGACGAAGTTGTGGGAATAGGAAACAGCCAACGGGGGTCCAGATCCGGAGCAACACTGCCCCCTAATGGTTCAGGAGTGGAGGTGTGTCTGGTAGAGATGACGTAAGGCCGGGATGTGTGAGTATGGTGGTGATGCAGTAAAAATATAAAATGTGTAAACTATGAGCAGACATGTTCATTCAATAATTGTATATGTTGTGTCATGTTCAATCAAACTAAATAAATAAATTCACCCCAAATAGAGATAGGAAAATGTTAAAATAACCCTTTAAAAGAGAAAAATATTAGCCTTACTTAAAACAACAGTGATACATCACATATTACTTAAAATCTGTGTAGATAAAGATATACAGTTGGAATGAGAATGTAGGGCATTTTCAATTGGCTTGGTAAATTGGAAATACATTTGTTTTGCTATTCAAATACACCCTTAAAGCTATTGATGCTGAAGCAATAACATTTGGTCAATAAAAGGGGAGGGAAAGATGCTACCACGGCGCCTGAAGGCAGCATGGCTCGAGGCAGATCTGCTCACTAACAACTCCCGGTAGGCAGAGAGCAGTGGAGCAGCAGAGATTTATCCATTCAGAGCGACTCAGGAAACACTGGAGCCTAATGCAGACATCGCAATCCTTATTATCCAGAATTTACAGTAGCCTATGTCAGTGCTGTCATGAAACTCCCATTAACATATTTCTGTAACTGAGGACCGAACATAGAATATACAATCTTGGAAACAACAACTTCTGTTTTGAGGTTATTCTGGGTAGTTTTACTGATCTGCGCCATTTGCTATATTTTACTCTATGAATCATGTTCCAAACTGGGAATCGAAAGAAATGTAGTTTTTGCTGAAGTTTCTCTGATGTGCAGTGAAACACAGCAGGGACTGTTCTTTGTGTGAATTCAAAAAGTCACAGTGGGACATAAACCTGTAGGTGGAATCCCCCATAATGAAAAACAAAGTTTTATTTTTTCATTAAAGCTTTTAGTGGGAAGAAATTGCTTGCACACCGCTGCGTTTGACTGAATGGTGCAAGGCCTATAATCTGAAGTGATTTGTTCTCACGCAATGTGGATAATTCCGTCCTTCTGACACTTCATCCGTCTTTACTTCAGTAACACTTTCAGATAAAAATGATGAGGTTCCAATATGTTTAAAATCAACAACAAAATAATCAGATAAAAGGGAAATGTACAGTTATGAAAATATGCAATGATTGAACAGATTTATGTGCACCCTAGTGTGTAAAATAAGATTATAATTAATTATTCACATCTCTCCACACCTAAACCCATTTTATTATTTTCCCCATTTCATTTCAAGCAGTTGCAAGGTAGGGCACCATATGCTTAAGAGTTAACAAATTACATATTTGCCCTTTGAGAACCCATCTGCTTTGTGTCTAAATAACATTTTCCGTATCCGCTCTCACTGGTTGACATTTTGGGCTAAGGGAACCAGAGCAATCAGGACTGGATTGATAATATCATTGAATGCTTGAAGTGAAATAAGGAATAGAAAGATAAAAGAATTTCAGAAATATGGAAATGACCTTTACTATCATCAGGCTGTATACTCAAACTGTGACTGTAATCAGAGCTACGGCCTGTTTTCAGGGTAATCGGAAAAATTGTTCTGTATACTAAATGGACTGGCGCACTGAGATCAATGAAACAACTCTTAAAACCATTGAGTCTTATTTAAGAAACCAAATGACCACTTATATCAAATTGAGCTGAAAAGGCTTTCTGAGCTTCTTTTCTGGAATTTTGATCTGTGTGAGGCTGAAATGAGAAGTGTTAAGTCTGATTTGTAGATTTACTATGTTGAATTATGTCCACATTTCACAATTTATACCTCAAGATCTTGACAGTTTTATGTTTCTACACTTCATCTTCCCTTTATGTCTAAGAGGGACAAAGCACAATGTCTGGTGACCTTTGGAATACGTGACAAAATGAAAGGGTCGGTTCACCTAATTCACTTTTTGACTTCACCTGTATCGCTTTCTGTTAAAGAATGTTGGTCAATAAACTCTTCTCAGCATACTTCATTGAATGTCTGGAAATATAAGTTGTTACTGAGTTTTCTTTATTAAATTTTTCATTGAGCAGTAATGAAGCTAACATGTTCTCACTGCCATTCGGGCGGCCATGCACAGAGGTTTTCTGAGGCTGATATTTCAGATATTAGTGGTGACTGGTAAACATTCCAAGGCATATGGGTAAACTGACTTCTATAGAAATAAGTACAAACATGTTTATTGCATATAAAAAAATCTATCTATTAAAAATGGTTTAATGACTTATAATATGGCTGTATCTTGCTCAAGTTACTCAGGAAGCAACTTCAGTTTGCATGCTTCAAAACGTATTCAGAACTCAAGAAAGTTGCCCGTTTTTTGTTTATTTTCTGTTAACTGACTGTACCAGATGTTTAGCTGACAGTGACAGCTGCTGAAACTAAATAAGCGTGCGTCCTGCTACCTGCTTCACCTAACTCAAAAATAAAGCTGATGAGTTCTTGTTCTGCAAAAAAAACGAATATGGTTACAATCTCAAAATCTCTGAGGCCTTTTTAAGCACTACAAACTACATTTAGACTTTACAGTTCTAATTTTCCTGCATCCCCAGGGGCATCTAAAACGTTATTGATTTTGTTGTGCTATTCATACAGTAATCTCATAAGACCCTCACCAGTCGTTCTTGCATTGTAAAAGGAAAGTCCTTGTTTACTGTATAGAGTTTCTTCAGGAGCATTCAAGGGCAGTGGACACATGATAGGTCTGTGTCTTCATCCTCCGCTTCATCTCTCTTATCATCTGACATACAGCCAGAGGGTAACAGCAACACACTGCGGTCCAGTCCTCACACACACTGCCCTGTGAATTAACATGCAGACAGGCAAACACAAGCATGCAAAAAACAAACACAGGAAGCACACATGCAGAGACAACAACATAGCAGGAAAACACCCGGAACCATGAGATGCATATATGAAAATACATTAAAAAGTAAGTAGTAATATTATTGAATCTTTTCTGTATTCTCCTGGTAGGTATTGGTTTTCCATGTATTGTGAAGTATTAAAGGGCACATATTATGCAAAATCCACTTGTTCATGTCTTTTATGCATACATACTGTACATACATACATACATACATACATACATACATACATACATACATACATACATGTGTCCCGTCTGTGAGAGTTTCAGGCAAAAAGATTAGCTCGCTTTTTTTCCTTATTCATTTAATAACCTGTCATGAGCTGATCACATTTTGGCCACTTTATGATGTCATAACGATTTTTTTGGCTTGTGTAACCATTAGCCAATAACCAACCAAGGTAACATCCCCCCACGTTATCACCTGAATCTCCTCCTAAAGCACCATGGTGTTCTTTTTAACCAAATATCTCACAGAGGGGTGTGGGGAGTCGCTCCTTATTTTTCATCTAAAGTAACAGACAGAGAATCAGCACTTTTGAAACAGGGCTGAAACAGAGGGGATTATGGGATGCTACAATGATCTGTTTTGTATTTTTGAGGTCCAAACACTTCAGAGACATTTTCGTATATATCTGAGACCTATAATATATGGATGAAAAAGAGTATAATAGGAGAGCTTTAAATAGGATTATCAGTTGGTATCAGGTTATGGATATGTTTAAGAAGGGCCTACTTCACCTCTGTGCAAACATGCATATTGATATTTTGGCCGGGTAGGGTGGCAGTTTAGCAATATAGGTGAAAAACAACTGATAATGGTTATTAATAGGTGATATAAGAACACACTTAACCCGTATCTTATTAGGCGCTCTGCTGATCCCAACTCGCATGCAAAAGTGGATCCTGGCAGCAGAGAATACATCAGACACTCGGCCATAATGGTTGGAGCTAAACCTCAGGTCCAAACAGCACCGCACCAGAGCCCCGAGGGACACTGCAAGCATAGATTAGCCAACAATATGTGTTAGTGAGGGTCCTTTTGG